GCCCCTGCCCCGCCGTGGCCTCCGCGTTAGCGCTGTGCACCTGTGTTATCGGCGCGGGGCAGGGCCGCAGCCCGCAATCCATCCCAAACCGGTCGGCTTTATAATGCTAATGGTGTCCTGTGTCAGTCGGCTTGCCTGTGAGGAGTCACCCTCTTGGGAAAGCTGCGCGGAGCGCCTTGGAAGGGAATGACAGTAGTAGGAGGCAGTCCGTAATTATAGGCGCTTCTCTTCCAGGTGTTTGAAAGTGATGTAGGTGCTCTGAAAATAGGCAAGGATTCAAAAGATCCCTTTCTCTCTCACATAGGCACACGCACACATGCCATCTCCACTTGTGAGTCTGCATCCTTGCTAGCTGCTTGTCCAGGGATGGACCCACATCAACATATTTCTCACCCCATTGAGAGATGGCAACAGCTGAGCCCTGTGCTTCCCAACCTTGCCCTTTTCATACTGAAAGAACTCCTGCTGCACAAAGGTGCAAGATTTCCTTTTTTTTTTTTTCTCCCCCTCTTTTTTTTCAAATTTTATTGAAACTCCAGGGCGGTTACTTTGCATTTGAAAAAAAGATCAGGGATAGCTGTGTTAAGTGCTTGGCTAACAAAGTTATCATAACAGTGCCTTCCCTGTGTGAGATTCTGAGGTTGGCTGCCAGGAAGGCATTGAGAGATTTACTACATATGAATTATATCAAGAATCATAGAGCCAGTTGCATTTTCTGTAGTGAAATGTGAGTTTAATTTTGTCTGTGTATTGGTAAGGAATAAATGTAACTGGAAGATTTCATTAAGATTTATCTTCCCAAAGAAAATAGCACTGCAACTATCAGATGACAGAAATAGCAGTGCTTTTTGAGGTTATCATCACTGTTGGTTTTTATGAGTTTGTTACCAAACCAAAATGGAAAACAGTCACTTGCTACAAGTTATGGTGCTCAAGAAACTCTATCAACAGAAGAGATGGATCATATTGCTTGTCGAGGCTGTCTTTGGGAACAGCATATAGGTTAGTAAAAATCTCTGAATTAGAAGTTAGGATGGGACCATATCATTTATATGTAACGCCAATCAGTGGAGAACATACCAGGATTGTACCAGAAAGTGTTTCAAAATAGCTGTGTTCCTTGGGGAGGGGAGATTGGATATTTTTACATTTTCTTTCGGAAAGTGTAGAAAAGGCTGAGCATTCCTTGTTGGTAGAACAGCTCCTCAACTTTTCCTGTATATGGAAATGTAGTGCTACTGAATGTTGGCATGTACTAAAGCAAGATCGTGGAAAAAGCAATTTGCAGTTGTGTTTTGCTTATGTTAACACATGGAATCACAAATCATGGCTGTCCGAGGTCAAAGGTAACTCGGATTATGTCAACATTTTCACGTTAGCAAAAATTACTTAATTATTTTGCTTAAGACTAGGTATATTTAATAGCTTCGTTTGACTGGTAGGGTATGATTATGAGAAGAACCATAGCAGTCATGCTCGTTGAAATTATAAACTGGACTTAAAGCTCATATAGTTAAAAGTTATATTTGAAGTACATTTGAAATGTAACTGTAAGTTGTATTTCTTTAAAATAGCAGCGCTTGATTTCTTAAAAAAAAAAAAAAAAAAAGAGAGAAAAGAAAAAGTCTCTCCAGTGATTTGCATTGGTGAAGTACCCTATCGTCTCTGCTCCAAGATTCAGCACTGTCAACATATTTGTTAAATGAGTGGTGTGATAGTAATTGCTAAGCTCCGTAAGAGCGTACTCATCTTTCATTCACTCCCGAGTTTCTGTTGGACTGCCATTCATTTCCTGTTTGCTTCCAAATTCCTACCTTCTCCTGCAGCCTCCACCCTCTGCTAACATGGCCATACTTGGGTATGTTGTAATTTCAGGCTATAATGGGTGTGGATGTCTTGGAATGACATCACAGAGGTATTTCTTTTTAGATGTATATGTAGGGGTAAAAAGACTTTGATTCATCCGCCAAGGATAAATTGCTATGAAAATTAGTGGAATGTATGGAAGGAATTGACAAATCCAAGTGGTATGTATCAAACTATGCAGATCTTAATTACTACAGGTGACTGTGAGTTTTTACGATGTTATCTTCCATCCATTTATGCTGCCCTTGATCGATACAGGACATACAACACGATATGTATTTTAAAAAACTTTGTAATTGCTGGTCAGCATGCTTCCCATTGCAGATGTTCAGCACTGTCTCTTGTAGCAGTCATAAGTTAAAAAGCTATCTAGCTTTTTTTTTTTAAACAAATTAAAATACATACGAACTAGAATGATTCAGCTTGTTCTTTTAGTGTTTGAATCTCATGGGGGCAAAAGCCTAACTATAAAACAGTTTAGTGCTAGAATTAATTTGAAAAAATTAGTAATTAGTTAATTACTAATCGTAATAATTTTTCCCTAGGATACATGTAAATGGCTTTATCATATAATAAATCCACAGATTACTGTTACATATCAGTGTTCTGGACACACCAATTTAACCTACTGATATATTAAAAAAAAAAAGAAAAATATTTTACTGTAGTGCTGCCTGTGAGCGTTCCTACATGTCAGGATTTTGAATCAGTTCACTGGGATCGGTCCCTGCAATTTTTTTTTTTTTTTTTTTTTTTAAGTATTCTATTTCCATGGTAAAACTATTAGGTTTTTTAGATTTCCTAAGAACCTGCTCTCTCGTCTGTGAGGATACGCTAAGAAGCAAGCGTGTATGGCTTTTAGGGCAGTTGCAATTAGTTGTAGTAAGCAGGACAGTTAAAATTCATCGGCCTACTGAAGATATCAGGGCATATGGCAAAGGCAGCTCTTTAGCGGTCTTACTGAGTAAGTTGTGATCTCCTGTAAGTAAATGGTAATACTGGACTGAAACAACCTTGGTAAATGTTGAAGGCTCATTTTGTTTAGATAATTATCTAATTTTGAAGTGTCTTGTTTTCAATTTTACACTTTTCAGCTTTTTCAATTTTTACAACATAGGAATATCTTTAACTCGGAATGTCTCTACATCAGTTTTTACTAGAGCCAATCACCTGCCATGCATGGAACAGAGACCGTACTCGTAAGTAATATGTTTTAATTTTTAAATTTTTTCAATTGCTATTTTCTCTTTGCTGTCAGTTTGTGATCTTGCAATGTTCTGGATCACGTTTAGGGAATGTATGGTCAAATTCATAGTACTACATGTTAAATGTTCCACTTATGACCCAAACAGCACGTGTCTTCTAAATCTGAACTTTTCTAAACCTGTTGCTGGAACTCTGGCGTATGAGCAGATCTAGTCTTAGGAGTGTTCCAGAAAGCTTTGCCTCTTGGTCTGCGCCTTGTGAGAGTGACCCTCTGTGACCCTCTATTTCCATACCCCAAATGAGCCCTTTCTTTTAATAGCCTGGTTTTCTACTAGAACGTGGATTGTCGTGTTCCAAATATATTGTCTTTCTGTGCAGTATACTCATGACCATATTATGACCATAATTATTTGAGATTACCCAGGGATGTTGGCCCTTTGTTTACAAAGCCCAAGTAATGCTCTGAAATTTGAGAATACAGCTTTTAGATCAGAAAGTCTTTCCGAGTAAAGCGTTCAGTATTAAAAAGCCTTCTCTACTATTGGATCGTTTTATTTCTTCTTCAAGAGATTGCCATTAGTCCTAATAATCATGAAGTCCACATCTACAAGAAGAGCGGGAACCAGTGGGTAAAGGCTCATGAGCTAAAGGAACACAATGGACACATTACAGGTAAGAGAATATTGTGCTGTGCCAGACATTAAGTTTGTCCGCCCCCTGTTTTCCCCAGTTGAGAATCTGAACAGGAAATCTGCAAGTGTTGAGTAAGTACATCTTTTTATAAGTTGGCATTCCCACTTACAGAGAGCTTTGCAGCATTTTTCTGGACTGCATGCAATGAATGTTAGCAGGAAAAGCCCTATTTCATTTCCAGACATTTTGGTAGAGTAACTGAGCCATTCTTTCTTATCTGTTGCTTATTTTTCATCCATAATGAGAATAAATTTTCAGTCTTCTGAAGTAATCTGGTTGTGTGTCAACCTTTCCTGGTGATACATGCTGCTCCCTTTCAAATGCTAGTATTAAAACCCCATCAAGTATACAACTGTTGCGTTGGGTTGTGGTTTCCGACAGCAATAAATAGCCTTTTTTAGGGACTGTATAAACACTTGAAGTGGTCAGTCCTGGATTTATGACAGACCGTCAGTGAGCACATTTTACTGCAGGCCTAGAGTATCTGTAGCTCCACAATGAAAACGTAAGAAGAGCTGCCATGATGAGTCATAAGGTGTTATTTTTAAAATGTGATCGTCCTGCAGTAGTCTCTTATATTACTGCTTTTTTTTCGTGGTGATATTTTTATATGGGCTTTATTCTCTAAGGAAATGGAAGTAATTAATACAAGCACTTGCTCAAAACAGCAATATCCTTTATTCTGTTCCCAACTCACTAATGGGCAGAACTATCTGCCCAACAGCGTTTTGCAGGAACTTTATTCGATTTATCTGATTTGTGCTGTCAAAGAGCACAACTGTACGTGCTCTTTTGTGAAGGGCCACTTGGGCTGAATTTACAAATGACATGCTGTTCCCCAAAGACATTTCTCTGCATTGTACTTGTACCTGTTAGTGTTAGAAGCCAAATATTCATGACTTGGGAAAAGAGCGCTCTCTGCTTTCCTGCACAGCGTATACCTTTGGAATTCTAAATGCTGCGGTTGTCGTAAAGAGTAGACTTAAACTGTGGTTAGACACAGGAGATAGACTGATCAAACCGCTTGTTGCTTCTGACAGGAGTGATTCAACTGCTGCCACTCCAGCTTCTGGTCACAAGGGACAAGGTCCCTTGTCTTGCCTTCTGTGTCTTGATTCAGAGATTTGTGGTGAGCTGCTGCTGTTCACTAAAATCAGGAAGAGGGTTACTCACTCGTTTTCCTGGCTTAGTTTTCTGCTAAGCTAAAAAGCTGAACTTGCCGTGGGTCAGAAGAACACCAGTTGCTGGTGCAAGGGTGGTGGTGGAAAAGAGAAGAGAGGCAGGATGGATGACCTTTCAAAAGCAGTGCTAGATTAACTCACGTAGCTATGGTTTCAGACTACCTACCTCTTCAAAATTGAACTTTTTAAGCATAAGCCTATTTTGAAGTAGACCATATATGAATAATACGGTAAAATGAGCACAAATCCTTTCCATATCTTTTATCCTTTTTTTCAGTTTGAATGCTTAAGGAATGCTTTTAATACTGAACACAGTTATGGAAAACCACTGAAATACAATTTTGTGGCAGGAGAGTTCAGGATTGCACTCTGCATCTCAGAGAAGGATGCTAAAGAAATTATGAAAAATAATGTTGCCGTAAGACTTTCCTGTTGGGAGAACACCCTTCATTGCATACAAGGGGAAAGAAGCAATGGCAGGCTTATCAAAGGCTTTGTTTTATTTGAATTTGCTATTTTTGCTTAGTAAACATTTCTTTCTCATGGCACAGCTTAAATAGGCATGGAAAAAATGTCAGGATTGTATCAGTACATAAAGATTGATAACTTCTAACCAAAAAAAACCCCTTCTATCTAAACTTTTAGGTCATGACTGTGGCCTGGCAGCAAGCAGGCAGCTATGTTAGGGGTTTGTGCATAGTTTTAGAATTGCTGGGTTTCAGCTGTCGAAATGGGTCTCTTGCAGAAGTCGGTGGTTTGAAGGGTGCTGGCGAACAGGCCTTAGCCGCTCTGCAGAGCTCCGCCTGTTGGCCAGCCAGCAGAGCGGGCTTCCTTAGTGGGCACGGTCTCTGTGGAATCAGGAAATTTGGGATCTGCAATTTTGATGAAAGCTCGTGGGAGAAACTGATATCCCTAACAGTTTAAAATGGTGCCTGGAGAATAAGTGAAGAAGGGGAATGCTAACATAACAGTAATAACTGCCTTTGTAGTAGCAGGCAGTGAGATTGTCTCTGTTTTGGCTTATTGTAAAGCAAACGGTATAAAGGGAAAAGTTTATTAATGTGAACTCTAAATTGCAGGTATTGACTGGGCTCCCAAAAGCGATCGCATTGTAACTTGCGGTGCAGACCGTAATGCCTATGTCTGGAGTCAGAAGGACGGCGTGTGGAAACCAACCCTTGTGATCCTGAGAATTAATCGCGCAGCCACCTTTGTGAAATGGTCTCCCTTGGAGAATAAATTTGCTGTGGGCAGTGGAGCTCGACTTATATCTGTGTGCTACTTTGAATCTGAAAATGACTGGTGAGATGTTTGAGCTTAATTTCCATTTATATCCCTAAGGTCTGCACAGGAAAGCTAAAGCCTGGACTTTAATGGTGGTAGCTACGTTACTAGTTTCCTAATTCCTAGAATCTTCAGGAAATGTAGAGGGATAGGCCTCATCAGTTCTTTCATGGACTTTTTACATCTTAAGGGAAAGGTTCCCTCTTTTCCTTCTTTACTGTGGTGTAGCACCTAAAGGCCTTGGACTTAGCCACGTGTTGGCGTGGATGTGTTCCGGTTGACTGCGTAAACATATGTTGCTTTTCTAGAAGTGCAAGAATGTCTGCAGAGTAAAAATTGCTTTACCACAACCGTGTGGTTGAAAAAAGAGAAATGTTTCCTCCCCGCACCTCCTTCCAGAGTGAATGAAGAAACCTTGACTTGAGTCTTTCTTCCATATAGGTTATTTTGGGCTGTTTCTTGGCATTCAAGAATTCAAGTCTGTCACTTACCTCCAGGGTGGTCTATTAGAAGATGTTCAAGCTTGTCATCTACCTGTTCTGTATTCTGTCATATATTCTTGTCACAGTTCTAGATTTCAGACAGGACTGTCACAAATATTTCCACCATTATTTTTTTTTTTTCCTCTTTGGCATCTAAATTTAGTGCTTCTGGTCTTTAATGGATCTACATTTGTAGCTGTATGTGTTGGAGCTACATTTACCATATCGTCTGTAGGTGAAATCGGTTATGTTGAGTATCTATTACTTTGGGTTGCCTAAACATGCATAAAACCACAGGTGTCTGTGCCTGCCGTTCTGTGTGCAGTCTTCCATGTGGAGATAGTAAACAATGATACCATCTGTAAAATACAGTTTAAAGATTGTTTTGGACTTTTATGCTTTCCAGCATATTCCGTTCTTAACATTTTCTCTGCCTCACTTGTCTGCAGAAGAATCAAAACCCCATATGTTGAAGACAAATAATTTAATGTGATCCTTAAAACTGCTTGTGCCTGATGGAAGTAAATTCAAAGAAAAACCACCATCATCCCAAAGGCCATCAAGTGAATAACAGATTTCATTACTATTTTGTAATTAGTCAAAACAAACCAAATCTGCTGAGACATATTTAGGCTAATATTGATGCATTCAACATCAGGACCACTTTTCACTGTACTTCAAATTATTGAGATGCGTACACTAGTCATATAATTGTCAGTTCACTCATTTACTTGTGGTTTATAGTTACTGTCTTATTAAACAGTAGAAAAGTCAATAGGTAAGAGAGATGACTGTAAAACTCATTGGAAGGAGCTGGAGAGGAAGTGTACTTAGTGATCTGAGAAAATAATGCTCCTTACCTCAATACCACTGTCAAAGCTGAGCTCTTGTTTATAGGATATAAGGGACCAGGCAATTACCGTGCAAAATTCACATTAAGGAGTTCAGTCTGATGCATTATAAAAATCAGTTAGAAGGGGGATAGGGTTCAGGAGAGGAAGAGGTATATATTTAACATGAATTTGTTCATAATCTTTAAAATGTTGATTAAGACAACCATATAAAGTTCACAGACTATACAAGGCAATATGAAAGATTTGGGCAGAATGTGAGTTTTATTGCAAAACTGATGTGTTTAGTCATTGGCAAGCGGTGATCTTTTTCAGGAGTATTTGATGGGTTTGGGGGAGTCCAGTAAAATATTTTCATATCTATTTTATCTTTCTTTTCATTTAGGTGGGTGAGCAAGCACATTAAAAAGCCCATTCGTTCCACTGTCCTTAGCCTGGACTGGCACCCCAACAATGTTTTGCTGGCTGCTGGATCCTGTGACTTCAAGTGCAGGTGAGAGGAAACAAAGCCTCTGTAAATCAGTTTGGATTACTGGTTCAAGTTAGTCAGTAGCATGAGCATGCTGATCATGCATTTGCCCTCAGAATAGAAGATGGTTCATTGCATACTGTTGTTACTGAAATAAAATATCCCGCTCAAGAGACCTTGGCTTTGATGCTGCTGCAGGCAGACTTTGGACTACTAATGTTTCTCTGTTGAGGGAGAAGCCTGAATTTAATGAACTGGTGGGTTTCTTTACTAGCAGTACACAGAATTAGTACTACTATGCGTGCACTGAGTGCTGAGATCTGGTTGTTAGGCTGAAATTAGACTAGCGGGTGCTATCTTGTTGAACACCAACACTGCTAGTTAGAGTTTAAAAAGCAATATCCTAATGGTGCAGTTCCAAAATTCAGAGTAACTTGGCACTTCCAAAGGCGCTGGCTCATCTTTTTCTTCCCTGAGTCACTTGTTCTCTCCCTTTCGCCTGCGCTTGCCTTGATGTTCTCGCAGCCCTGTGATGAGTAGGGTCTAGGAATTGGTCCACCTGAAAGTCAGTACAACAAACCACATTTCTGAAGAGCATTTAAAAAAAAAAAAAAAAAGGGCTGATAAAAACAGATTAGCAACAGATGAGCATGTGAGATGGATGGCATAGTCTTTCAAACTGATTGTGAAATTACACTGTGAGGGATGGGTCCTGCAAGTTGCTCTGTGCTGAGTGATTGGGGTCACTGCAATGAAGTCTGCACAGGGAGCTGTCTGCAGAGTGGTTGACTTTAATTCATATTTTACTTAATCACCTGTACCTTGAATAATAATGAAAGCTTCTTTTCTTAAATTCTTTATGTAATAGGGCAATTTTTAAGCTTCAAAATGTGTACTAAAAATGACTAAGAAGGAGTGGGAGGGGGAGGTGGTACCGACTATGACATTCCTTATTTCAGAATGAAACCCATGCATCTAAATTCTATCCTTTGATACCTTTTTATGTAAGGAGAGATGTTAAATGGGAGCTGGGAAGGAGAGTTGTCTCCCTTTCCTGCCTTACCTTCAGTTTTAATTAGATAAACTACACATGTTCACTTCCTTTCATAAAAAATGTGATGTAAAAAATACTCATTCATCTTCCAGAAGCAGCTGCTTTTCACATATGGAAATTTTTTCCTGTGTGTCCATAAAGCATCTCAGGACTTTGACATTAGGTCGGCTGATATATGCGTATATCTGTTACTTTGGACTTGAGCTCTTTTGTCTCCAGGCTTTGTTCAGTGCTTGTTATGTACATTGCACCCCTGATTATTTCCTCTTCCCTGTTTTGGTTGAGAAGTTAGATCTGCATCATTTTCTGTTCAATGTGATTTTTGTTTTTGGTTTGTTTTTTTTTTTTTTATAAGAAAGTGAAGGTGTGGCTCAGTTTCCTAGGAGCATTCTCTAGAAGACTTGCTTAGTCTTTTGTTTCCCATCAGAAAACTCATTGTATCCCTCATCTTCTGTCTCTGAAAATGGGCTATATTTGGAAAACAAAACAAAACACCAAAACAAAAAAATCCAAACCCAACAGATTTTAGTTTAAAACATTTGGGAAACTTTCTGTTCTTCCTTAACATTGGATGAATCATTTAATAATTTTGCTGCTTTTATCATGGATATCTCCATATAGAAACATTAAAGAAAGGAAAAGTAGTGGAGACTGGTACTGGGTTTATGTTTCTATTTCTTTCCCAAAACCATGAAAGAATGTTCTCTTTGGTAAATGATGAATACAGATCTCGAGATTTCTGGTTCTAGGGAATGTTCAGTTACATATTAAAGATAATAAAGATATCTGGGCCTGAAGTATGCATCTGTTCTGATAGGTGGTTCTGAAGAAAATTATGAAATGGATCTGCCAGAGCCACTGCCAACTAATAAGTAGCTAAGTGAGAGACATTTTGGAAAAAGAATGGAGGGCAGAAGATGCTCCAAGCTGATAGGTATTCAGAGGAGGTTTTTTGGTGGCTGGCCTGGATGAGCTCCTCTTACGTTTGTCTTCAGGAAGAGAGAGAGAGAGAGATACATATAGCTAACAGCACCGCATAGGTGTGAATTTTATATTCTTGCTGGAACAATGTTTCTGTGGGAATGAAAGTAATTTCCCAATGTTCTTTGAAGGCTGGGGCCTTCAAGCTGAAATTATTCTGCTTTTAAAAGAGACTTTAGTAAGGGAAAAGACTTTTTTTTTTTTTTTTTTTTTAACTAACAGTTATCTTCAAGGTCTTTCACTACTTAGGAATGATTTTTCTGCCTTGTGTCAAAGGCTGTTGCTTTAAACATCTTGTCCTATTTCCATACATTAAGAGAACTGTCCTTTTAAATGTCTCTATAAAATTAAGTTTGTTGAAGGATTATCATTAGATTATATTTAAACTGATAGAGCTGAGTATAAATTCATACTTAATTCTCTGAAAATCTGTACCTAATATAGCCACAGTTAAACCCTTCTTGTTCCAAATGATCAGCTTTATTTGAATAAGCCGAATATAGGTACCTTTTGAAGTGCATACCCACACATGTAAAAGATTGAAAAAACGGGGGGGGAAGGAGTAACGTTTCCTTAAACTCACTGTAAGATAATTCTTTTTTTGACTGCAGCCATGAATATTTGATCACGGCTTTTCATTTATACTGAAATGTTTCTCTGGTAGTAGTGTGGCGTAACTCACTTGCTCCTCCTGTTCAGTGGACTCTAATCCTATGTTTGTGACGTCCCAGTAACTTCCATGGTAACAGTCAAGAACACCATATTGTGGCATGTCTGAATCATGCAGAAGGAATTTGATGAAAGGGGGAGGCTTTCTATTTAAATATATCTTGAAAATTGTAGTGCTGGGAAGAAAACTATAAAAACAGTGTGGTATTTCAGGTTTTCAAGGCATTCTTTCAGTAATGAGCCAGAATAAGGTGGCTCAGAGCCCCTTTGCTGACATTTCAACATCATTTTTCTTTCTTTGATATCCTGCTAAAAAGTGAATGTTCTTAAAAAGTGAGTAATTTTGTAGGTGTTTGTATTGGCTTCTAATTATACTGTGCAATTCGTGGTTTCTCTCTAACTGAAGAATTGACTCTGAGAGTTATTAGCACCACAAAAGGATGAAAGGGAAATCTTAGCACAGTGCAAAATGCAAAGACAATGTATGTTTTTGTGCCACCTTCTGGAAAGAAAGGAGAGAGATGAAAGAATGGCGTTTATGAGAAACCTACATGCATTACACCCTTTGTACTATTGCTTTCTCTCTATATACTGACGCTTCCCAGCTACTAGTGGCTTGTTGTTTAAAGATACCATAGTATTTTATTTTGGTAGAATTAGAATGCTTCTATTTGCTTCCAGAGTGAAATGAATTTTCTGTCTTTGTTCATGTTGAAATCTTTTATTTACAGGGTGTTTTCTGCTTACATTAAGGAAGTGGATGAAAAACCAGCCAGTACACCATGGGGCTCCAAAATGCCTTTTGGGCAGCTGATGTCAGAATTTGGGGGTGCTGGAAGTGGTGGATGGGTGCATAGTGTCAGTTTTTCTGCCAGCGGTAACCGCCTAGCCTGGGTCAGTCATGATAGTACTGTGTCAGTTGCCGATGCCTCAAAAAATATGATGTAAGTATGCTCTTTCTGTTAGTTATTAGCTGTTTGACATAGAAGGAAGCAGTATGTGGAATGTTGTACTTGCAACAACGAGAGCTGCGACTGCTGTTTCCAGTTTCGACAGTTTTGCTGTAGATTCTAGGAGTCTCTTCGAGAGACCTCTATAAATAAGGTAGATTCTTATAATTTTAGATTATATAATTTAAATTTCTTATAGTCGTTCTTCAGGGAGGGTATAGTCAATTTACTTTGGAGGGAAAAAAACATTTGAAAAAGCATTTGAAAAAAACCCCACATTCCACTCTTGTGGTTGGGGAAACAATATTTCCTTGTAAATGGACCCTGTCCCCAACCAGGATCTGGAAAAGAAGTCATTCATTTCACGAAGTGTTAATTCCAAACACTGTCCTTAAGGACAGTGCTGCTGCAAGGTTTCAACTTACATCTTCCAGTCCAACAAAATACTTCATTAACAATTCCTCCTTCTACTCCTCATCTTGATCTGAATAACTTTTCAGTGTCCATGGCTTGCTAACCAAGAAGGAAGAGATTCCCTGTACATTTTGATAGCAGAGATCTCTGGTGGATCATCCAGGCATTGCTGTGCTTCATTTTGAATTACGGTTCTGATGGCTACAGATGTCTGCCCAGCTGGGGATATCATTAAGTATAAAGTGTTCTAGAATTTTTTTCTGGTTCGTTAAAAAATCACAAAAGTTGACTCAATTTAACACACAGGCTTTTTCCTCCTGAAAAGATAATGTCAAGTTCTAAAACTTCAAGTGGTTTTAATATGCAGATGAAATTAATAGCTTCATCAATTTGAACCTTTTTTGGGGGTATTCCTTTAAAACTCTTGCCACTGTTTACACACAATACTAGAAAACTTCATCCTTTCACCTAGAATACTTCATGTTTTTTATACATATTTCAGGACACTTTCATTACGTTAAAACTTTTTTTACAAAGTACAACCTTCTGGTGTCACCTGAGGACAACTGAGCTACACTGACTTCTTTTCCAATAATCTTTGTGTGGGAACAGTCTCTATTTTTTTTTGGAGCCAAAGATGAGAGGTTTCAGTGAAGTCCTCTAACAAATGTTCTTGTGTTCAGGGTTTCGCAGCTGAAAACAGAGTTCCTCCCACTCCTGAGTGTGTCGTTTGTTTCTGAGAACAGTGTGGTGGCAGCTGTAAGTGTCTATTATTTTCTCCTTGTAGAGTGTTGTAGTGTTTTGGGGAGGGAGAGACACCATACGTTTCAAAGTTAGTAATAAGCAAGCTCTTCCATAGTTTCCCTTTACGTTTCTGCGATTAACAGTAGCTGAAGAACAAAATGGTGATTATGTTGTTTATGTTGCTTGACATGCTTTCATGATCTCTGGTTGCAGGGCCACGACTGCTGCCCGATGCTCTTTAACTGTGACGACCGTGGCTTGTTGACCTTTGTTTCCAAACTAGACATTCCAAAACAGAGCATCCAGCGCAATATTTCTGCTATGGAACGCTTCCGAAACATGGATAAAAGAGCCACTACAGAAGATCGTAACACTACCCTGGAGACACTGCACCAAAACAGTATAACGTGAGTGTCTTGGCTGCCAGTACAAGGGGAGGGAATGCTCTCCACATCGCTTTGGTTTCCCAGGATGTACTGCAAACCTATGAGAGCTCAAACTTGGCTGTACCAGATGGGTTTAGCTGGTATCCCATCTTCATTTTAGTCTTTCACTAATAGCTGTTTATTTCTGGGACTGACATGGAAGCTGGTAAAGTTAATCATTAACATGGCATGCATGCTACTGCTGTTTGCTCATGTTTCAGGTGTTCTGAAACTTGAACATGGTTTATCTTATCAAATATGTAGATAGGTCGCAAGAGGTTGGTAGCACTGTGCAAAACCTAGTCAGCAAAATTCACCTGAAACGGGAAGCATACCAGCTTCCTGTTTCAGATGTTATTTCCATGCGTATTTATTCACCAAAAGGATTGGTTCAGGTTAATCAAGTAAAATATCCTTGCATTTAAAAAAAGTGCGTGAGCCCGGAGGATGCTGACGTTTCTGAAGCAATTTGTCTTTATTCAAGGAAAATGTTTAGGCTACAGTCACCAAGCGATAAAACTGCTTTCAGCATCCTTTTTCTTTGCTTATTTTTCTGAAGCATTGTACCGAAAATCTAGCAGAAGCTCTGCTATACTCCTGTCTCCCTTTGAGAGAGTAGTAGTTGAATTCAGCCCAAATTCCCTACCTATTTGGCTCTCTGGAATGGGTGTCTGTGTTACAGCTATCGCTCTCTGTTTTCAGCCAAGTGTCTATTTATGAGATAGACAAACGAGATTGTCGTAAATTCTGCACCACCGGCATTGACGGAGCAATGACCATCTGGGATTTCAAGGTATGCTTTTGCTCCCATGCTTATGTGAACTGGGTGCCGTGGTGGGGTTTTTTTGATGTCTTGCATCCACTTCTGGGGCTCAGCCCTAACGCAGGTTTTCTTAGCAGTAGGAAATCCAGACTGGAATATTCAAGACCATTAGTGAACTCCGTAAGGAAGACGGATCCAAGCCTCAACAAAAATGCAGATATACTTTACTTAGCAGGTGGTGCTAATCCAGACTTAATTTTTTAATGGAATCGCTAATTTCCCTGTAGGAATCTTGCTATTTTTTTTCTTTTCCAACCTCTACCTCAGCCACAATCAGGCTGGAACGATCATTGGTACGACACGGCCCGCTGCCTCTTCTTGCTCCCATCTCTTAGGACTCTCCTCACTGTCCTTCTGCAGAATGTGGTCTTGCCCTCTCACAATTAACTTATCAAAGTAGTAACAAGTTACCTCAAACAGTTAGAAAATGCAGTAAGCGCTGTATTGAAAGCCCTAGAAGGATTTAATAGTGCAAGTGCTTGCTTTGCTGAGGACTGGCCAACAGAGGTCTCTGCTGGCCTCCCCGAGCTGCTGAGAGCTGTGCTCTGCCTTTTAAGAAAAGAATGGTTTGTCTGTATTCTGTAAGGCCAGAAAGCTCTGGTGGGGACAGGAGCCGAATAGGAAATCGAGGTGATGTATAAGCTGCTTTAACGCAGTTTCAGGGGAAGGGAGTGTAATCATTGGTCTACATATGTCTGAGTCTGACATGCATGACTGTAGTCATCTCTGGCTCTTGAATATGAGTCTAATCTCAAGTATTCAGGGTTTTTACTCAATTTTCTTAGCGTCGGCATCTACACTGAATTATTTAACACAGGATACTGTAGCAGATTGTGATTAAGATTTTCTCTCTTTCAAGACCCTAGAGTCCTCTATTCAAGGTCTACGAATCATGTAAAGATGGATTTCCGTGATCTAGCAGGACAAACTGCTTGACAGAACGCAGCTCCCGCATCTGCACAAACCTGAAAAGGGAGGAGGAAGGTGGAATATTTGGAAACACTGACAAAATACAGCTTGGCAGATTTTCTTTTGAATCTAAATTTGGTGAATTGTGTTGGTTTCAAAATCAGCTGTGATTGTTCTTTTTTTTTTTTTTTTTTTTTTGGTTGGTTGTTTCATTCCATTCTTTACCAAAGCTGCTCCTTAAGTAGTTTATTGCAGGAAGTTATGAATCACTAACTTAAAAGGGGAATTTTATGTAAATTGTCTGCTAGAAATAATAATAATAAAAAAAAGAAAAACTGATTCCTTGTTTTGGTGCTTGTTAATAGTGATTACAAAAGGGATATTAAGGGAATTAACTCTGAGAGAGAGAGAGCAGAAAAATCCTGCACTGATATTTTATGGCCTTAAAACAGGAAAAGTTCACCTTAACTGCAAGTTTCTTAAAGTTGACAGATGAAGACCTGGAGTTCTGATGATCTGGATGTGAAGATCCAGCTGGGCTTCTTTCAGGGAAATTGTTCCCTTCAGGTGATGATTTTGGAGGATGAATGGTTTTGTCCTATTAATCTTAATTCTGTCTGCCTGGCATCTAATCTGGTAGTGATAGCAAATTAACCTGAATGTCTTTTTTACTATCCGTTTAGTGGGTCATAGTTTTCCAAAGGCAAATGATCGGAATTATTTGTAGTTACCTTTTAGGATTTGTACAAAGACTCCTCACAGTGGAGTGCCTGGGATACGGGGTGGATAGCTGCATGTGGAAAATGAGGCAAAAATCTGCTGAGCCAGATCTTAGGAGGACAAATTAAAAGCAAATCACTTTGCAAGCCCATGAAGCTACGCAGGCCTGCATGTCATGTTAGAGCCGAGTGCTCGGCCTGTAAAATCCTGTGTTTAAAATGACTGGTGGGGAAATGAAGCACACTTATCAGAGGTATCAGTGTGGTCTGGCTTCTGTGCAGATCCGTTGTCTCCAGGTGGCTGTATCTTTTGAAGTTCAGTTCTGAGCCTCGGTAGCTCACAGAGGCATTTGCACGTAACTTATTTTATTAACATGGTCTCGTTACTCTTAACTGTATTGCTGCCTTGGGGCTTGAGACAGGCTGTGCTCCGGAGAGGGGATTATTTGGCTCACAGCATTGCTTTATGGGGTTTAAGACGCTGTCATTTCTGTTGAAAATGCAGAAGTGTCTTAAAAAAAACCCCAGTGACTAAATTTACCACTTCCTCTGGAACCTGAGTTGCTTCATACAGTGCTCGCATCTCAGCTCTGAGTGATTGAAAAGGGAGGGTGGAGGATCAGCTCCCAAAGCTGACAGCTGCTGCTGTTCTGCTGCGAGTGAGCTGTGTCCATCACGGCGCTGGATCGTTTCCAGCTGCAATGTTGGCTGCCTGCAGAGCATTGACTCTTTTTCCAGTTCCTTCTGGTTTTCTCGTGTCTCCCGCCTTCCTCCCCTGGCAGTCAAGCGCGGCTTTGCAATTTCCTCTCCCTTCTCAACATAAAATGATGACTGTTCAACCTCTACTCTTCTCGCAATCTAGTGACCTGATGTGTACGATGACTTCTGGTGGGGATGGGTTTGTCAGCGAGGATGCAATGCTGGTGGAGTTAAGTGGCTTTGGGATCAAAGTGACCCTGCCAGCCTTGGCGGAAGGGCTGAGGAGCATGGGTTTGGCTTCATCCATCTCCGTACGTGCTATTACCTGCTTATGTTCCCCCAGACAGGAACGACTTTGTTTCTGAAGTCACTTTTTGAGAGTGTGGTGGTTTATTTCCAAAAAGTATTAGAAAGATGGATTCTAAAATATCTGGTCCAAATAACATAAAAGGATGGGAAAAAACCCTCTAATGAGAGAGCAGAGAAAATGGATCCCTAACTTCTTATGCCTTGTTCTTTTTCTGCGTGAAAGAGCTGGAGAAGGTAAAACGAGCCCGTTTTGTTTGTTCTGAAGAGCCAACAAACCAAGGTTTGATGAAACTGCTGTAGGTTACTATCAGAGAGAAATGTGTATGCTACAAGTCAGAGATTAAAAACGGATTGGAGGTATTTATAATAGAAAAGAACCGAGCAAGGGGAATGTAAACAACCATCACTCAAGGCGTAATTCAGCTTCAAAGTGCCCCGTGCGCAGGGGCCGGGGAAAGCTCTGCACCTCGGGTGCTGGCCGAGGGTGGGAGAGGGCGGCCCTCTGGATTTCCAGGCCCTCGCTCCGCTCTGGGAGGTGAAGGTAGGTGGTTGTTCTGGTGGTGGGTTTGTCTCCACTGTTCCCCCGGTCGCCTCCCCCATCTGTGACGCTGTGCTTTGTGCCCGGCGTGGGTGAGAATTCCCCAGCACATTTAGCTAACCGCGGCAGCCGGCTGCTTAGCACGTGCTTGTATGTGCTGGGGTTAACGGTGCCTTTGAAAGCCGTGTTCACAAAAAAGCTCCTGCTTGCAGCCCTAATTACAGGATAGCTGCTGGCTGCGTATGCTCGACGTTACCCGCCGGTTAACAGACTGTCGGGGGCGAGAAGTGGGGCTCTCCGCAAGCGGGGATGCCAGAGGCTGTTCGCTAGAGCCTGCCTGAAAAACTCCCCGGCCTCTAAACGAAAAGAATCTGCAGAATTGCTGCTGCTTTTCATCCCCTTTGCCCCGCCTCCAAAGAAAACCCCAGCAAAAAACCGTTCTGGCATCCCCAGCGTCTGTGCGGTGGGAGAGTTCCTCTACAGCTGAGCGTTGCAAGATGTGCTGCCGTGGATGCAGGAGGGTCTTGCCACTTCAGAAAATGGAGGCAAAAGCAGGTAAAGGATCCAGCCAAACATTGAGTCGGATCTGGCAAGAGACACAGCAGGGCTGAGCCTTCATCCCTGGCCTCCACAGCGCTGGCTTATTCCCCAGGGGCTGCGGAGTCTGGGGGAAACCCAAGCAGCATTTAAAACCAGTGCATCCCTGCTGGAGCCAGCTCCCTGTGCCCCTTAGCCCAGGCTCAGAGAGGAGCCGCAGCAGGGAGCAGCCTCAAGAACAGAAGCCACGAGGAAATGCGA